ATGGTCGCTACCACCACACTTGTAACAGTGACTACAGTAGACATCCAATCCACTTTGTTGACATGCAAAGCATTTCCTTACTCGAGTCGCAGGAGGGTGATAGCGTTGTGCTGGGAGCCACTGTGGTCGTGGAACTGTCTCTCTCCTCTGGTCGCAAGGCTGCAAGTAATATTGAGGTGGATATTGAGTCTGAGCAGGATATTGAGTCTGTGGCAGGGATGCGCTAGTCAGCGGGGGACACTGAGTAGACATGACCTGAGGTTGCTTGATTGACTCTTTAATTTGAGATACCTCCGCACTGAGGTCTCTCAACAGTGCCATGCCTGAACGCATTTCTCTCAGCTCACCTAAGATCTGAAGTTCGGTCTTCTCTGGATTGTGCTGAGGTGGTGTTTTTCCTTTTTTCTCTAGAGTGGTATCACTCGATTGAACTGTGTGTACTTTAGTGGTGCATGGCTGGACAAGTTTCTTTTTACTTTGGCGCTCAGCTTCGTGGGTGCACGCCAGGTTGACTTTATCTAGTTCATCACTTACATCAGTTTGTGTCAAATAGGGTCGCAGATCACCTCTAATGCTGTCATTCTGTAGGCCCGTCAGGATAGTGTGGAGAAACATGCTTTGGACTAGCTGTGGGTCATACTTCAAACTGGATTCGGCCTCCTGTGAAGCAAACAGAATCTTTTGTCGTAAATCCAGACAGCGGACAAGAAAGCTTTGCGGGGTCTCTTTGCTGCTCTGTACCTCTGAGGTAAGTTGTTTATACAGCTCAGTGGCACCCTTTTCTTGGAAATGAGCCCTGAGAATCCGTCTTAATGTGGACAGTGTAAGGTTTGTCTATCCCTCTAGGTAGCTACGAAGCTGCATGCCTGGTGCAATTGCTCGGATTACAGCATCAACAATTTCAAGCTCAGAGTAACCTCTGCTCCGTCCATGTTCAATTTGGTGAGCTAGACTTGAGAAAGGAGAGTTTGTCTCTTTGCCCAGGTTCACCTATCTGGCCAGATATTTTGAACTCCCTGCTCCATGTTGACATAATTGGTCGTGTTGACGCTGAGTGACACTTTAGGTTGGTAGTGTGTGTGTCTAAGCTTTGCTGTGTGTCATAGCTTTTAGCTGCATGTTTGTGTGGTGTGGGGCACTAACATTCTGCTGTGTGCTTGTAACGATGTTATGTTTTTGTTCAATTAGTTTTTGCAAAGCTAACTGCAACGTATCAATTTCTTTTTGTAGCTTTTCCTGCTCTGTGACCTGCACTACTGAGTCTACAGTCACTCTCTGAATCACATGTGCTGTCTGTTGTTCGGAGGTATTTTCACTGCCCTGTTGAAGTTCCCAAATTTTGTCTTACACACAAAAGTTCTGACATGCCATTATCTTCCAGTTCATCTATAAGCCCTCCCTTTCAAGACGTTTCACTGGTGCAGAAATGACAAATGAGTGGCTTTTGTCGATAACATGTTCACTCCCTTCAATATTCAAGAAATCACACAATTTCACAAGGTTTTCTCTTGATAGTGAATACAATACTCCTATCACTTCAAGTCTTAAGTCCTCTAACTGATCCATGGTTCACTTAGGCTGTGAGTGTGTGCAGTGTATGATGCAGAAAAGCAGTCTTAGCTGGTCGGAAAATGGCAATGTTCCGGGTATCGACGATCAACCTCAGATAGCACGCACTCTTCTTCCGAACTCAACGTGGACGCCAGCCGTTCTCACTCTGTTCACCTCAGCCACAAGTCAGAATGAATGACACTGGAGGTAGACCATCATCTATGGACGCCGACCTTCACTGCATTTCATCCCAGCGGTGCCTCCAAAATGTAATACCCTCACCGCCTGATGAGGGGAGAAATATGTATAAATGAATATATATAGCAGCTGCTGCTGCTTCACTTATCAGAGTCTGGCTGCGTCCGAAACCGCATACTTCCCTACTATATAGTAGGGAAAAAGCAGTAGGCGAGTGAATAAGTATGTCCGAATCCTTAGTATCCAAAAAGAGTAGGCGAGAATTACCAGAGTGACGTACTAATTATCGCGAGATTCGGGCATACGTATACTTATAGTACGTCCGAATATTCCTACTTTCGTACTATATAGTAGGGGAAAACAGTATTTGAAAGGAGTAGTATGTCCGAAACCTCAGTACTCATAAAAGAGTAGGCGAGAAGTTCCCGGATGATCACCTGCTTTCGCCAAGATTTTTGAGTGTTCATCCGATGGATACTCTTCTATCCCAGGAGGCCACGGGAGAGCATTCGTCATTATCAACATCGCGGAGATCAGCGAAGCAGGGGGTTTTCAAATGTGAGTAAACACGGTTCCTTGTGTTTAAATCGTATGTGTTAAACTACTATAGAGTAAACGTTTTAACTGTTGAAGGTCTAAAGGACTTAAGTTAGACAGTATAGTATAGTTGTGATTTTGCTGTAAACACATGTTTTATTAGTTAGTTAAACAGGGGAGCTCCAGTAAGTAGGCTAACGTTACACGTAAGTTTCTAAAATGGATTTACATAACCATATAACGTTACATCTTAAACACGCTTATTTAAAATGTATATTTACATCTGAAATGAAAATATTGTTTAAGTATTGCAGATGAGCACATCCCAACATGAAAAATACATATGAGTGATGTAACGTTATGTGTGCTATTATGAAGGATAATTCACTGTTGTCAACACTACTTACATTAGACAAATGTGCTGTAAATACGGTAAATAAACAAATCTATAAAGTAACTAAATATGTTATATTTAATTTGTCCCTTATTAGTGTTGATATATTAAGGAACATTTAAGTTGGATTAAAAGTGAGTTAACACATCAACCTCAGCATGTAAATTCAGTGTTGAGCTCGTAATGTGAATCTTGTCTGTATGTTACAAGGACAGAAGAACACGCGTGTGTTTATCCGGTGGAGAGAGGCTCATGATGCTGAATGCTGTCATCAAAGGCTTTGGGTGAGTATACTACAGAAATGGATATCAAAATCTATTCAATCTTAATTTGTAGTTTATTTGAATTATTGTAAATTCAGGTAGAGACATTACAACACTTTTCTGATTCTTGATTTCTGTGCATTTGCTGCATAGCTTTTGTGGTGGAGCAGGACCTGCAAGGAAAGATGATGGCAGCATTTGTTTTAGGGATTTTACTCAAATATAAAGTAAGGTTATTTTTAATAGATAAATCAAATGACATTGTGTTAAAATGACTGCTTTTGTATAATGTTTGTGCATTTTTGTAGGATCTGAAATGTCTGCAGACTGGTGTGAGCACTGAGGATGAGGAGCCCAGAGGTGCATCCTGGAAGTGGTGCCATGGATGAGACCCTCCAACTCTCCACCTGCCCTTATGAGTCCCTCCATCTCTCCACCTGCCTTTACGAGACCCTCGATCTCTCCACCTGCCCTTATTGCCTCAGATTGTGAAGCGCAGCACAACAACAAGCTCTGGGAAGAAGGCACAGTCCCCTCTGGTGAATTCATCAGAATAAAGCTGCAGAATGGGAACCGCTGTGTTGAGTCGGCATGATGTGGTGTTCAGCGGCTGTAAATACATGCTTGTAGTTTGAATAAAGCTTTGTTTCATGTGTTGTTGACTTGTATAATGCATTTGTTTATTGTGATGGTTACTTTTATTTGTTCTTTTACTCATTTATTCATTTTTATTATTGTTGTCAGTATATAAAATTTAATTATTTAATTAATGTATCCATTAATTCATCGATTGACTGATAATTGAGATGTTTCACTGCATTTATGAATATAAATGTATTCATGCATAACTGTCATATGACAAAACAAATGACATTTTGCTTGTTTTATTAAATTAAATTTTTAGTATATAAAAGGTTATATAATTAAGTATTTGTTAGCATTTAATATTATTATTTTGTTTTTAAGTTTTGGGGTGGGCTAACAATGCAATTCATTCTGAAGTAGTGATACTTACATTTTTCGAGTATAAAATCAACAGTTTTCTCCAAAGGAGATCTTCAGCTGCCCGTCTCCTTTGTGCAGACATTACAAACGCAGAGGAAAACTGTTCTAGGTTGTGCTGTCGAGTCACTGATGGTATGAAGTGTTAGTACACCTGTCACTCATAATTTAACCTTATAAACGTATTACATACAAGATCATGGAAAGATACCATAATAGTCATAATGACAAAACAGAAAACATAAAGATCATTGGTTTGTTTACATCATAATACAGGAAAAAGGAACAATAACAAGGCTAAATATCTTTAAATAGTTCTTCATAATAGGCCTAAATGAAAAATGTTGTTGTTTTGTTGTTATAGGTCTGAGGGATGAAACGAGGTAAATTCATCAAGAAAAGGAGGAAAACTTAAAGGAGAAACGTTTTGGGTATAAAATAAAGAAATTAACAACATATATTCAAGAGGTGACGATTTGGGGGTTTCTTAATAAAAAAAAATATCAGCTGTTTCTTCAACAATACCACAACAAAATGAGAAAGTTTCATCAATGTCAAGATATTTATAGATAGAAGAATTAAACGTGTCGCTCATTTCTTTGCGCTTGTGATATGATGATAACACGTCGTAGTAGGTCACATGATAACGTCAACATGGCAGATGTCCGGTTCTCATTCATACTCAACGAGATTTGGCTATAAAGTACCTACTCTTTTAGCGCTCGTTGAGTAAGTACTTATTGAAATTAAGTACCTACTCATTGAGTATGCGGTTTTGGACGCAGCCTCTGTATTGTTTGAGCAGCGCGAGTGAGCCCCCTCCCTGTCAAGCAGGCAAACACTCCCAAAAGGCAAAAGCAATCAAATAATCGAACGAGAGCAGGGAACATTAATCGTCACAGAAATAATCACAAAAAAAACATGTACCAGAAATACATTCTCTTGTTGTCACATCTTACATATCATATATATATTTTCTGCTGTTTATCTACTTATTTCTTTACAATTACATATCTCCTTTTGTAACCACCACACTTGCAGTCGTCGATTTGCACCATCTCTGGCTTGAAGTTGTTGTAGCATTTTACTGTAGAAGGCAGTGGCGGCTCCTGCAAAATCTCTCAGGGGGGCAAATATTTGGATGATTGATAAGGACAAGGCTCACCCATGCAATGGATTAATTAACATCTTAAGCATGTAAAGTCAACTTCACTTTAATATTAATGACAAATAAAGTGACTTAATAACAATAAATCTTCTTGTTTCTATACTCACTATTATTACACTTATTTTATCACATTACTCACTTAAAGAGATAGTTCACACAAAAATGAAAATTATGTCAGTAATTACTCAACCTCATGTTGTCCCAACCCCGTCAGACCTTCGTTCATCTTCGGAACACAAATTAAGATATTTTTGATTAAATCTGAGAGTTGTGAGACCATCACTACAGACTCCAGTGCAGAGTTAAATTAACACTTTTTCAGAGTTAAAATGTAACTCTTTATGGAGTTAAAATACTAATCCTACGGAGAGTAAATGTAAGTCTAAAAATAATTATATGAACTCATTACCAGTGTTAAAAAGTAACACTTAAAAAATAAATATATTTAGTTTAACACTTCTTAGAGTTAACATTTATTCAACACAATATAATGTTTTGTGTGGAAATTACTACACTGAACACCATATTCTTGATTTACTGCCTTTATTTCAGCAAATCCATTTGGTTCAGATTTGAGGAGGAGTAACTTCAACCGGTTGTCTGCAGGACAGTCGTATCTGAAGATCACAAAAACAACAGTGTGAGGCATAATCTAGCACCATTCATTGAGAATGCAAAAATATATTAGCTGAAAATCACGCACATCGTGGGTCACCACTAATACGTAGCCTAACGTTATAATTGCAGGCCTACACAGCACAGCTATATCTTATTTTCCAGGGTAACGTTAGACACTGCAATTTTGTAACCACGTATGCCTGTAATGCATTGATGCATCAATTTCACGGTAAAACACTCATTTTCAGAAACACGGTGAATGGAAAGACGGTTAGCTAATGTTAACTCGTTTACATCGACAAAACCCCACGCAAATAGCCATTTCAAAATTTGAAACAAGTAAACAAACGTTCAACAGCAAGTTTGTCATAGTTGTTGACGTTAGTAAACAGTATAGCCTATAACGTAGCTGCTACGCGATGACCAAACGTGTTTGTCAGAAAATATAGAACATTTTTAAATAGTTTTATATACACTTTTACCTACCTCACGACGAGGCACATAAGTCCATTATTCCTTTGTCCAGCTGCAGGGTCGTGTCGTGGCGCACTTCTCAAAAATAACTCCAGGTGTAACGTTAGCGTTAAAACCAAAACACACCTGAACACCAAAATACAACACAGCCCGGGAGTATCCAATAACACAGAGTGTAGTTAGAGTTAAAAAAATAACTTTTTGCCGAACTCATGATTTTTCAACTCCTGAAATTTGCTGTGTAGGCTTCTAAAGGACTGTGTTTGCCATGACGTTGTTCAAGTTCAACTGTCTGAGTAGGCTTGTTTGAGATGAGCAAATTCTGCGCAGAATCGATCACCGGTGATCAGCGCGAGATGCATGCCGGTTAGAAATGTGTCCGAGAACGGTCCGCCTGGCTCTGATGTCATGCCGACGTATGTCAAAAAACTCTCGCGAGCGCAAGGCGGAAGGGTCGGATTCTGCAGTCGCGCGCAGTTGCTCTCCACCGACTGCGCTGATCAAAAGCATGATGGGAAACGACTTGCTGACGACACAGCTTAATGCTCATTGGTTTAAACAACATGATGAAGCTAAATTCCATATTCATTAAGCTAAATTCTCCAAATCAAGGCCATGTTTTTTTTTTTTTTTTTTTTTTTTTAATTGAAACTGATATATATTGTGAATCTCTTAAACGGGTTAAAAATAAGAAAGCTATAGTCAGTAACTCAAATATACTAGGCCTACTCTAAAATGTTCAAGTGAAAAATAGCTCTCATTTTATAGATGATGAAGTTTGTAAGTCTGTCTATTTAAGCTAAGCTTATTTTGATTTATTGATTTATTTTATTATTAATTTTATTCTGATGTTTATTTATTTGTCGATGTATAATAGGCCTATTTGTTTCACGAATTGGTGCTTGTAGGTAGGCTATGTTTGTAACTTGCATTCTAATAAAAAAGTAAAATAAATAAAAATAAAAGAACAACAGATGAATTGTTCTCTTTTAAAATGTTTGATTTTAAAACTGATATCATGTTTTATGTGTATACATATATGGGTGAATAAACTCTCTGACAGTGCCATATGGGTTATATTTCATTTTTGTTAAAACAATAAACACGTCTGTATTAAAGAAAGAAAAAAAGATTGATAAACACATATTTAACAAGTACTTTGGGTGTCTTGTTCATTATATTTATTTTTATATAAAAGCAACAGAACTTAAATCACATCCAGTTTATTAGCAACACGTGCACGAGCGTGAATCCCGTTAATCCCGCGATATCCGCCTTTGATCTCACAGGTGTCTGATTCACTGCGAGAACCGAGATCTGTCCGGCTTTATTGCGCTTTTTTCACTCCTCCCCTCACTGCAGCCGCCTACTCTCGACTACATTGCAGGCGAGGCGAGGCGCATCTCAAACAAGCCTAGTGTCTGTGCCACAACTCGCGAGATGTCCCAACAGTCTCTCTCGCTCTCGCTTTTTTTTTAAAAATCAATTTAATAAAGATAATAAAGTAGTGTTTCATTTTTTATTGTTGTTGTTTAAATTCAAAATTGTTTTAAAATATTATTTTTCACTTAATCTTATGTTTGTTCCCACCAATCGAAGTTAAGGATACGTATGATGATGTAAGCACGTTAGTGCGAGCCCTCCCGGAACCCATAGAGAATGCATTGCAGTGCCTGCAGTTCGAAAAAAAAAAACATATTTGAATGTAAGTCTATGGGAACACTCTGGGCGATTCTCAGCCAGAGTGAAATCGCCCAAAAAGAGGCGGTACTCCACAGAACGTGACACGACGCTGATTGGACTATATCACAGTGACGGCTAGGGTAACTCTCTGGTTGAATGAGATTGCGAATGTGATTCACACTTTGGTGGTGCGTCGCCCAATCGCCCTAATGAAGAAACCGCCCCTGAAAGGTGTGGTGGTCATTTCCCACAACAATACTGACTATAATGAGAGTTAGTTGACATGTAGAGGGAATGTTTCTTATAGTCAACAGAATGTCTAAAAGGGACCATCAAAATAAAGTGTTAACCTTATTTTTTTATATCACACAGTATATTCTATTCATATAAATTCAGCAATACATATTAATGGTAAACCTTCCAGTTACACGTTATTCACTAGTCCACTTAAGACATTTAGTACAAGGAGCTTTGCAACCACGTGTCAGCTAACTCATTAGTATCATTAGACTGTTAGGTTAGGGTTAGAGAAAAATAAAGTTGTCTTGCAAAGTTATTAGAAGAATGTCTGTTTGGGGGACCAATAAAATGATTCGTTAACTTAAGCAGACAGTCAACTAATACTCTGACCGTAGTAGACATGAAGTTGCAAAGTAACCAAGATATAATTTCCCCCACCTTCATGATGGATATTGAAGAGTGTTTTCCTTTCGATACGGTTCACTCGCATTGTGTCAGTCAGATTTTATATGATGCTTTTGGGGAAAACCTCTCTTTTCTCAGAAACCTGAAGCCTGATTGGTTCACGTCACAGACAAATGGCATTTCAGCTCGCCAGAAACTAATTCACCTCCTATATTAGTCACACAGAAATGCAATTGTCCATTATTTACAAAAATATTTAAAGCACCCCCACCATCGCGTCATTGATTCATCTCCTCCTTCTGTGGTCAACCTCTCAGAATCATAGAAGACCTTTTAATTATTATTGTTAGAGTACATGACTGAAATCAATGGCAGAGTAGCAAGGCAGAAACCAAGAAAGACACAATCAAAGGTTGTCATCAAGCTTTTCCAGGTGCTGAGGCCAAACAATTTTCACATATAAGATAACTTTACAAGAACATTGATGGTAGTATGATAGCTTGGGGATGTTTTAAAACAATCCCACGACAATTTGTAACTATTTTATACTTGATGAATCTCTCCCTTGTACCACACTTAGGTTAGGTGTACCTTCACTTTTTTTCTTTTTCTTTTTTTTCTTCTAAAAAACATGTTTTGTTACAAATCTCAGAGTACAAATTCATATGTAATTGCCACCTCATAAAAGTTACATTTTCTCATGAGATCAGATTGGATGTGATTCTAGAGGGCATTATACCTTGGTTCCTTCGATGTCTGTTAAAGGCTAAAAGCTCTCTGCCCTTTTTGAAAAGTTCTTGCCTTGTTTGTTCAAGCTCCTTCCTTTGCTCTTTGAGTAGCTTGATTTCCTTTATCAGCTCACTGTCTGAAAGCATAACATTTTTGAATACGGTATTCAAGAACAAGAATGACACTGTTTGTTAGTACCTGCTCATGTCTTACAAGTGGTAGTTTGTTGTGTATAAAATTTCATGGAATAGACGGACAGTGCAGAACTGCTCTCTGGGAGTGGAGAGGTTGGTCTACTCATAAGAACCTGTGAAAACACATAAAAAACACACTTAAAGCTTCTTACAACAATGTCCAGAACACACTGTTCAACCGCCAGCTGCGTGAGGAATTTTACTCAGCCAAAAAAACCTCATGGTGTCTTAATGAGGGTACGTTACTTCCTGTTTTGTCTAGAAGACCTCTACTAAACCTTCAGAAACTCTCTATAGTGGCCTGGGTGAAACTACAACATTGCATTCTGTACAAAACTTGAATGACTTGTATGATGCTCTATTGGTTTTATCAAATGTAATATGAAAACACATCTCTTACCACATCATCTGTTTTTTCTTCACTTGATTTCAGTGTCAGAGACCTATTCAATTTCCTAAACGTATAACATAGGGTATAAAGGCAACTAAATATTACATTATAGAGCTAATTCTTTTATTACCAATAAATAGTTACTATTAAAAGTATTTAACAATTACAGAAGCCAAAAAATCAGGTTACCTTGCCAGTCCTTGAGAATCCGCAAATGGCTCTGGAGCTCCAGAGTTTCTGTTGTTTCTTTTAAAAAAATCGTTCTTTTGTGCAGTAGTACGGAAGCCCTTGAATCCATTTCTACTTGAACAGAAATAAATAACCTGACTCCCAATAATGTTTAAGTAAATATGTAAGTATTGTGTACATTATATAAAAATGTGTTGTCACAATCTTATGCCAATTTGTAACTTTGCACTACACATGAATGAACATCAAGAAACTTATTTTTATTAAATGATTATTATTCTCCCTTACTTGACACACCAGTTCAGCTTAGGTCATAGTGACTATACAATAACTTCAATAACTACTATCAATCAATCTGCTATTTTATTCAAACAGTTAACTACTAGATGCGTTTCAAGTTTTTGCAATCCAAAAATATTTATTAGTGCTAAAACAGAATTTTTTTAATACATTTTTGCCATTCAGTTACATGGCAAAGGCTTTTTGGGGGCCTGAAAACACAAAGTGCGGGTTTCAAAGTGCAAGAATTTTTTTTTTTTTTACAACAATACCGTTATCATCTTTGTGGAAACTACAAATAGGTAAATTTGTGAAAACTGTGATGTCATGTACGTGTATTATGTGTTCAGTCATAGGTGCATATATTGTTTCTTTACCATTGCCGGCCTGGCATGCATAATACAGTATTTTTTGTCATTTTTCTGGATCCGTGTGAACAGGGACCGTTTTGACTAACACAGTCTCATCCCAATACGTCATACAACTGACACTTTTGACCATACGTCAACATCCGCCGTTTTAGGGTACCCTTTAACGTCACTTAGATTAGTTTTAGAGTGCAGTTTAAAATTTTAACCATTACCTACAGAGCTCTCCACCATCAAGCTCCTGCGTACATCCAGGACCTATTTCACATTCACTCTCCCGGTCGCTCCTTGAGGTCTTCAGGCCAAGACCTTTTTATTGTTCCTAGAACACGTTTTAAAACAAGAGGTGATCGTGCGTTTTGTGTGGTGGCTCCAAGGCTCTGGAATTCTCTTCCATTAGTCTTGAGAGCTTTGGATACTGTAGAAAATTTTAGTAAACACCTTAAAACACATCTTTTTAGACAAGCTTTTAACTAGCTAGATGGTGGTGTTGTAATATGTGTGTGGTTTTTATTTCTTTTATTATTTGTTTTTTACTGTAAAGCACTTTGTGACCCTTCATGTCTGTGAAAAGTGCTATATAAATAAAGTTTACTTACTTACTTACTTACTTACTTAGATGACGTTCCTGGGGTGTCATCCAACTGACGCTTTTACCTTTAACGTCAGTTAGATGACGGGGTAGGTTTAGGTCTGGGGTAGGGTTAGGTTTAGATAACGTCATCTAACCGATGTTTAAGGGTAACCTAAAACGGCGGATGTTGACATATGGTCAAAAGCGTCAGTTGTATGACGTCTTGGGATGAGACTGCGCTGTTTTGACAATGTTTTTTAACTTTCAAAAATGCTCTTCCATTTTTAGTACATCGTTGCCATGCAAACACCCTTTTTGTTCCTTAACAAAATGAACTCAGTAGTTAATTATCAATAGTGCACCTGTGCTTTTATTCTTAGTGTTTTCATACCAGGGTGTTTGTTTACAGGTTCCATCTGATCTTGTGAAGGATATGTTAGATGAGGAGTGTCAGTGGATTCTGCATCTTCATCATTCGCGTTCTCCTCTGCATCCTGCATTAGGACAGATTGCTGAGGTCCTTTATTGATTGAGGGGAATTTAATAGGTTCTTTTATCATGCCAGGTGCACATGTTGGTCTGGGCAAATCGTGATTGTAATGGTCACTGTTACTTATTAAAGTATCAGGGGTCAGAGAGCTGGAGCAAAGGCCACTGTCATTCTATACGGGTAAAAGGTAGAGCTCAGGAAAAGGAGCCTAATGGGGTCATGGAAAGAAGACAGATATGCATAAATCGTCTGATAACCACAAATAAAATTAAACTTTATGTCACTTACAAATGGTTAAGTACTTACAAATGGTGGAGTGAATGATTTTACTGTCAGTTCTCCCTCTTGTCTGAATTTAACCTGAGATCAAATTACAGGAGTTGTGACAGTTTATTTTAACTTTATTCTGCTCACATGAAAACTATGCATCTGTCTACAAGCATATTCACATTTTGCAATTGTAGATTGCCTGTATTGAGTTAAGTATTTTAATTTGTGTCCTATGTACTTTGTTCTCAAACTTTTAACCCTTGTGCATCCTTATGGACATTTTTGTCCTTTTCAGTTTTGTTTTTTTGATCACTTTGCCTGTGTTAAAGCTAACTGCAAAAAACGTGGCACAGGTGTGTATTTTTATTGGAATTTCACTATTTTACCGTCATTTTCTTAAAAAAAAATTTTTTTTGCATTAGGTACAAAAAATACTCCCTCTCAGCACCTTTTGGACAAAAATGTCACCATTGAAACCCATTAAAACGGCCATTTTTAATCCCCGGTTCAGTTAACTATAAAATTACGCAATCTTTTTTAAGAGGCTTTCATTCTGATGGCAAGGCTTCAAAATTTTATTTTTTACTATTTTTTTATCAGTATTGTTTTTAAGTTTGGCCTATAAAACAAATATCACTTTTTTCCTGTTTTCTGGTTCGGCATAATAGAGAGCCAACTGGATAAATTATGCAACAATATTTGTGTGGGTGTGTTGGTATGGATGTCAGAGTGTGGTTAGTATGTGTGTCATAAAAAAATATGTGTGTGTGTGCGCGCATGTGTGTGTTTGAGACAGAAGAACTGCAAATTCAGATCCAATCACTGTGAGCACCAGTGGGGGTTTGCTGGCACCCAATGGGGAAAATATGTTACTACGCCCAAACAAACTGTTACCGAAAGCTCATTTTTTGAGATATCCTCAAATTTGGAACACAACCTATTTAGATTTATGGCTTTGATTTCATTTCAGTTTTGAGTTCAACCTGATTTATAAAATATATATTTTATATAAAATATTTTTTATAAATAATTTCCATAAACTTATACCTATATAACTTTTTTTTTTTTTTTGGATTTACTTTTTTTTTTAATTTACTTTTTTTTTTTAATTTTTTTTTTATTTACTTCAGCAATAATCTGCAAAGGTCTTCTTTAAAATGATACCAAACTTAAGTCTGTGCTCCAAAGCGTCACATTTTTATGACAGTTTTTTGACATGGACATTTTTGTCCTCTTTTTACCTATGAGTAACTTTTTTTAATTGATGCACAAGGGTTAATCGCCATCATTATCATCATAATCATTACACTGCTTAATGTGGTGTACTGTAAATAACTCCAACATGCTTACGGTAATTTGAGCTTACTTTCATCTAAATAAAAAATTACAGAAATGATTGCTGCTCACCAGCGCCAAACTTCTGCCAACACATTTAAAAAAAAAAAAAAACATATCTCTCTGACCCCATTTACACCTGGTATTAAAATGCGATCTGTATCCAGATAAGTTATCCGGATAATAAGTACCGATTCCATTTACACCTGGCCACATAAATGTGTTTTTGCAAAACGGATATAAATCCGATCTTAAACTCCCGCGTATGCAGATTTAATGGATTGCACGCCACCAAAAGCAACAGATTTGAGCTGCATTTCGTTGATCATCAGCTAATTTCCAAATCAAAGACATCAATAAAAGAGTGGCAACAGCCCTGGTAAGATAATTTCGTTTCTTTACTTGAAGATGATTGTGTGTTAAGCGTCCGTGACTTACTTTCACTTTTATTTGCGATGTTTGCACGTTGACTCGATGAATAGACGCTCAGCTGCTCATCTGCGGTGATGGGTGATGCGTGTCGCAGTCAGGTCGCAGTAGCAAGAAAAATAGACGTATATCTGGCCCATTGTTCATGACATTATCCGACCGGGCAGCCATTATGCATAACAGCCATTACGTTAAGACTGTGTTTTAAAAACTAGTATGACCAACTAACAGGTAGTCAGTGGAAATCAAATCTTACTTTCTGGTATCAAATTAGACAAATCTATGTTTTTTGTTTTTGTTTTGGATAACAAATTTAAAAGTTATGAATATTTTTAAAGAAAACAATTGATGACTAACCTGTGAGACTATTCTCATCCGTTTATACAACAGGCCCCAGATTTGTTCATTCACACTCATACACTTTCCATATCTTTATATTTGTTATTCTTATGTACTGTAAATTTATAAATCAAGGTATATGGTATATATTTGCTTTATGTGTGCTGTGTTTGGTTTGAACTATTGTGTGTAGATTATGATTTATTTTTTGGTTTGTGTACATGCATGATATTATACTTGTATAATAAGTATAAGAAAATATTCAAGTTCACTACTGAATAAATACACTTAGCAAAACAATATTTTAAGATTACATGTGACATAAAAAAAAAACATGTTTTCAAAACCGGCAAGAGTACAGCACTTATTTTTATTTTATTTTTTTAATTTACATAACTTTATAGCTATAAACTAAATCGTTCAACAACTCTGTCTCTGAAGACTTGCATCCAAACATTCTTTATAAAAAGTAAAAAAATAAAATAAAAAATTAAAACTCAGTGACCACTGTAAGAAACCATTTCTTTATTTAGAATTTTGAAGTCTACAATGACAGCTTAGTTTTTAAATTGTCCAATTTAATTTTATCAAATCTGAAAGTATTGTGTGTATGCCAGGTCAAGTTTTGTAAAAATAAGACAGAGCAAGATAACAGTCTTAATTACCTGAAATTTCACATAAACACCACAAATCACCTGTCTTGGTATCCATTTTTTTAATATATATATTTGAGTAAAGAAAGTATTTACTCAACTATTTAACCAGCCCTTAATTTGTCATGCCTCGAAACAAATCAAGTATCTTTCTGTCCAGCCACGTAATAACATTCTAATGCAAAAAATACAAGTAAATATAATACAGAAAATACACAGCTTGTGTTTCTGTAACACTTTTTTTTATTTCGTTTCATTATGTAAGGGTGTTTTTTTTATGAAACGTCAATACGGTTGTCCTGCGTTTCCCGTCTGTCCCTCAAAGATGGAATTTTCTTCTGCAGGAGTCCATTTCATGGCGCTGAAACATAGTAAGAAAGAGTTAATACTGCATGACAGACACAAATAATGGACAAATTAAACCATGTTTTAACAACGTTCTTCATAAATGAGATGTTAGTTTTTGAACTTACTTTGTGAACCCATTCATATTCCCCGAACTTTGAATCAAAGGTTCCTTTCTGTAAGGAGCGAAGTTTAAGAGTGAAGCGAGGTCCTAGTTCTTGTATGCCCACTCTTTTTTCATTCTTGAAGATGTACCTGAATGATACACATGAGTTTATTCAGTCATGTAGAAAACATTTTTTTAACCAGTTAATGAATAAAAGTAAAATATAAGCACTCAGAATATATAGACTGCTATTTAGAGTTTCTTTCTTTACTTCAATGTATTGGTATGTCTCTTTTCTGTAGATCAACTTTGTATTTAAAACACATTTGATCATAACAGGAAACAAATCTGTCTCCCCTCGTGAAAATCCTTGCACTATTGTTTTGAGACTATTGAGAGTATTTTTCACTGAACTAAAAAGAAAACATTAGACTTTGTAAATCCAGCCATGGGCAAAAGAATTTGTAGATTTTTTTTTCACGTGCTATGCTATAACTGGAAAACAACGATAAGCATTTCATTCGTTTTAAAGACTTTTATTGCCAAAAACATTCAATTTATGCAATATTTACAATGTTGACCCTTCTTCATAAGCTCTGCAATTGACATGCTGAATCCTTGTGGGCCAAATCCAGACTGACGGCGATCCATTCTTACCTTAATAGTGCTCAAAGTTGATTACAATTTTTGGGCTTATGTATGTCCATTCATATTTTGTGGATTGACCACAGCCTTAGGCCATCAAAGATCTCCGAGCCTTTTCATTATCATTCTTGTCCTGTGACATGGTGCTCCATCAAGGTGGAAAATGCACAGATCACCACCAAATTGCTCCAGGGTCGTAGGGAGAAATTGCTCTTTCAGAACGTTTTGATACCATTCTTTATTTATGGCAGTGTTTTGGGCAGGATTGTTAGAGAGCCCACTCATGAATGGTCTCAGGATGCTTCACTGTTCGCACACACAGGTGGTGATCATGTATTCTTCTCTGGACAATCAATTTTCCAAATGTCCCAAACAGTCGGAAGGGGTCTTCAGCAGAGAAAATAACCTTGCACCAGTCTTCAACTGTACAATCCTTATACTTCCTGTAGAATTTCGGGCTGTGTTTGATGTTTTGCTTGGAGAGAAGTGGCTTCTTTGCTGCCCTACTTCATTCAGGTCACTGTCCAAAAGTCTTTGCCTCACTGCATGCAGATGCACTCCTGCTGCCACTATTGAGCAAGCTCTGCACTGGTGTCGACACCATTCCGGAGCTGCCTCCTCCTCCTCATGTTAATTGCAATTAATTGTGCAGCCCAAATAAACTTAAAAAACAACATACTTCAAAACAGGCCGAAAGAAGGATACAAAATTAAGGCTGCTTTCAAAAAAATCCTTTAAATCAAGATGTCTGGATCTTGATGATGTGGCAGCCGAGATATACGACCTTACTAGGACCTTCAGTTTGAGAAGCAATCAATAGCTGCACAGCTTTCATTGGAGGCAACCATTGCTAACAAAAACAACAATTGGAAGCATTTCTTCTCTCTTTTTATAGTCATATAATCAATTAGTCTCAGCCTCAGATGTCACGCCCACGGAATGTTGGTTAAACGTTATATGGTAAACTTAACTGGAAACACTTCAGGAATGTCGAAGTCATAATCTGATTGGTTAGCCTAGAAATCTAGACGCACCCTAGCGGCAGCAAAAATCATTTCGCTGCCAGTGTGGTCTAGCAACTCTCAATAGACATTTTAGCTGGAAAAACCCAACTCAGGTCAGGCCAATCACATCGTGTATAGAGTCGGCGGGCAGGCTTAACAATGACGACAGAGTCGCGATGGTCAGAGCAAGCTCAGACATATTCGGTTTGAAGTCGTTCATCCTCGAATGCGGCGCCACGCACGCTGTTACAAAAAAGCGGTGGCGAAATGATCAACTTGTCATTTTTGCCGTGCTCGTGCAGACGCGTCGAGTATAAAGGCTTTGTTTACTCCGTGTTAGCACATGCTCTGATCGGTAACGGACCTCCGAATCATCTCCAGCGCCCAGCCTCCGAACCACCACTAACTCCGCCTCAGTTTCCCTCGTAAGCTGATATTAGTATTTAACATTCTCTATGATATTATTTTTTTTTAATGACACACTGTCTCTTTCTCTCTCATACACACATCACACGTCATAGCTGCCCATCGTTTCGGATGATGCCGCTTGCTTCGGGGTTAGGGAGGGGATCAATGACGTTGTCTCTTTCACTCTCACACATATGTAGGCTAGTTATAAACTCTTTAGACTTTTAATGATTAGTGGTTTATTTTTAAAGTTTGTGGGTCGTGTAAAAGACAAAAAAAAAAAAAAAAATCCCTCATTTTTTTTGGGATGGATTCCGTGAAATCTCCCTTATTTTCAATGTTGACAGCTATGGACAGGACACGGTAAAAGTTTAATATATCAGCTTTCTCCGCTGACTACGTCCCCTTCTTCGTTGCTCTGATTGGTTGTCGCGCTATCCAATTGCGTGCAGAGAGAATCTGAAAGACAACCGTTTATCCCACCCCTCGGATTGAGTCCTGTCAATGAAGAGTTCTCAGACCAAACATCATGATGTAGTCCTGGCATGCCAGGCTACTGATTGGTTGAATTTTATCGGATTTCCGGGGGCCGCGAGTGTTGCGTTTATTTTCGGTCCGCCTGGAAACAAAGCGCAGACGTGTGATTGCGGAAGAAAAACTGTTGTGTTTACACGAGTGACAATGAGCATTTATCAAGATCAGCTAAACATGGGATTCTCAAAAGTATGCAAGGTTCACGGCATAGACTCTTTAAGAGATGTCCTGGGGCCCGTTTCAATAAGGAGGTTCAACCAACTCTGAGTTAAAGCTTGAACTCAGAGTTGACTTACCCTGAGATGGGAAACTCCGAGTTTTCGGTTACAGAACAGCTGAAATGAGTTAGTTCAATCAACTCTGAGTTGACTGACTCTGAGTTAAGCGCGTGCACCACAGCTATAAAAAGCCATTATCAATGGAGCGCAGATATTACGAGTCACCATGGCAACAGCGCCAGACAAAAAGAGGTGTTGGGTATAATTAATTACCAAGTAATCTAAATATTGTAATTTAATTAAAGGGATTACTCTTAATTCTTCTTTAATTTAAAATAAAATATGATGCAATTACATTAAATAGGCTACTGCATAAACTATAGACCAATTCAGTATAAAACAATAGTGGATTTAGCATACATTTTTAAAAGGTATATTTTTATATAACCTTCTCCCTCTACACATTTTGATCAATTCAAGAATAATTAATGCAATTGTACACTCACCGGCCACTTTATTAGGTACCCCATGTTAGTAACGGGTTGGACCCCCTTTTGCCTTCAGAACTGCCTCAATTCTTCGTGGCATAGATTCAACAAGGTGCTGGAAGCATTCCTCAGGGAGTTTGGTCCATATTGACATGATGGCATCACACAGTTGCCGCAGATTTGTCGGCTGCACATCCATGATGCGAATCTCCCGTTCCACCACATCCCAAAGATGCTCTATTGGATTGAGATCTGGTGACTGTGGAGGCCATTTGAGTACAGCGAACTCATTGTCATGTTCAAGAAACCAGTCTGAGATGATTCCAGCTTTATGACATGGCGCATTATCCTGCTGAAAGTAGCCATCAGAAGTTGGGTACATTGTGGTCATAAAGGGATGGACATGGTCAGCAACAATACTCAGGTAGGCTGTGGCGTTGCAACAATGCTCAATTGGTACCAAGGGGCCCAAAGAGTGCCAAGAAAATATTCCCCACACCATGACACCACCACCACCAGCCTGAACCGTTGATACAAGGCAGGATGGATCCATGCTTTCATGTTGTAGACGCCAAATTCTGACCCTACCATCCGAATGTCGCAGCAGAAATCGAGACTCATCAGACCAGGCAACGTTTTCCAATCTTCTATTGTCCAATTTCGATGAGCTTGTGCAAATTGTAGCCTCAGTTTCCTGTTCTTAGCTGAAAGGAGTGGCACCCGGTGTGGTCTTCTGCTGCTGTAGCCCATCTGCCTCAAAGTTCGACGTACTGTGCGTTCAGAGATGCTCTTCTGCCCACCTTGGTTGTAACGGGTGGTTATTTGAGTCACTGTTGCCCTTCTATCAGCTCGAACCAGTCTGGCCATTCTCCTCTGACCTCTGGCATCAACAAGGCATTTCCGCCCACAGAACTGCCGCTCACTGGATGTTTTTTCTTTTTCGGACCATTCTCTGTAAACCCTAGAGATGGTTGTGCGTGAAAATCCCAGTAGATTAGCAGTTTCTGAAATACTCAGACCAGCCCTTCTGGCACCAACAATCATGCCACGTTCAAAGTCACTCAAATCACCTTTCTTTCCCATACTGATGCTCGGTTTGAACTGCAGTAGATTGTCTTGACCATGTCTACATGCCTAAATGCACTAAGTTGCCGCCATGTGATTGGCTGCTTAGAAATTAAGTGTTAACGAGCAGTTGGACAGGTGTACCTAATAAAGTGGCCGGTGAGTGTATATTGTTAATTTGAAAGCATTAAAAGTGCAGTTTCTTGTCTCTCCTCCTTGTATTAATCAAGTGGTTGAGGTTGATATAGGATTTAGTAATATGTAGACCAATACTTTCTAGAGATAGTAATTATTACATTAATCTAACTACACCGTTGAAGATGTCATTTGTTGTTAATAATTCATAACTATTTTAGAGTAACTGTTATAATATCAGAGGTGAAACTGGAAGAATGTTATTCAACCTAAAGTAGTCTACTATTACTTTGATACATTTTTACTTAAGTAAAAGTAAAAATACCAGTCTAAAAAATCTACTCAAGTAAAAAGTAGTTAATTTAAAACATGAGTAAAAGTTGCTGAGTAACTTGTTTAACAGCGGGGGTGGGGTAGGGGACTCCCCCATGTCGGGTTGTAACGTATGAGAGTTTCACAGTATGAGAACCGTCTCAGAAAATATCACGGTTTATGGTATTAAACAATTGTTAAATATATAAACTGCATTATTAAATTACGGTTATTATTTTCATCAGTTAAAATGACAGTTAAATAAATTAAACATTTGTTCAATAAAACATAATATCAACTAACTTCAATAATTGATTATGATTATGATTGACATCTTATTTTTTATCATGAATAACTTGAATAACATGAATAATTAAATTTTATTACAAATTTTTCAATGATTTAATAGAAATATATTATCCAAAACAGTGGTAATCAAATAAAAATTTAGCAAATGTTTTAATCCTTTTATTTTTTGGCAAAGTGCTGCAAAACAGATTTAGTCAATTAAACCATGGACAAACAATATATATATATTCCTTAAAGAATGTGTAAATACATTTTAGTATTATTGTTGGTGTTTAAACAGCACTTCCTCTTTAAAAAAGGGGAGGAGACCGCAAGAAACTCTGGGTTTACTGAAGAAAACCTGCTCCCGACCAGGTTAGGTTCACAGAGTAAGTTACCATGGTAAGTTACCTCTCTTTCAGAAACGGGCTTGACTTACTCTGCTTTCTCGGGTTTGATATACCCCCCTTTCTGAAACGGAAAACCCAGTTTCCCTCATTTCAGGGTTAACATACTCAGAGTTTTCACTTAACCTCCTTTCTGAAACAGGCCCCAGAAGTTTTGTTGGAGGCACTTAGTGGAGACAAAAAGAGATATTTTAGCCTGTTTGCCGACAGGATTTGGGAAGAGTATTATTTTCCAAGCCTGGCTGACCCTTTGTCAGCATTTAGAAGGATTCCCAGCAGATCCAATTTTACTAGTTGTGTGTCCCCTCGTATCTATTGTGGAAGATCAAGTTAAGTACCTAACTGCGAAGGGGATATCAGCCACGTTTTGCAAACATGAAACAACAGACGCCGACATCGCAGCTGGCCGATTCAGTATTGTGTTCGGTTCTCAGCTTTGACTTTAGAGTTGTGTCCACGAAATAATCTGTGTTTTTTTAGTTTTAGATGCTTTGAAGGTCTGAACAAAGTCTGCATACGTTTCCTACTGATTTACTCTGTGTTTTGATCAGATGTGGTAGTGCAGACGCCATTGTTGTTATAAGTGCACAAACAGATCAACGACTTACTGCTTGTTTTCTTCTCCTTCTTTGATTTTCTATGCTGACTGACTTGTTGCGCGGCGGTCTGCTGTTGTGGGGACATTTCCACGCCCCGAAACAAACTGTAATTGGTTGTTTGACATGTCGGTCAAACGGCCTTATGGGCGGGCCCTGACCAAAGAAAGCTGCTATGAATTCTAGACCTTCAGCCGTTAGTTACGCTACGCTACGCGATACTAGCAATATCAGTCTGCTCCAAACAGAATAATGTTTTTATGTGAGAAATACTTGTCCATATTTTCCCATGTGCTGATGCGATTAGTGAAATTATGTCATTTGATGTCATCATTTTTGGCCAATAAAGCTTTTTGCAATTAATTAAAATACCTTCGATCACTCTGCACAATAATCTAGAAACAATTCGTTTCAACAACAACCGAAGCTACAAACTTGTGAAAAACACAACATTTATGTTGTAACATTTAAATATAACACTTTTGGCCATGACTGTATGCTTTATGGATTACAGCAACATTTTAATTTACCTTCAAACTATTCAAATAAGAGAACATTTACCTGTGAAACCTGAAAAAGATGAAGTCTCTCTGATTATGAAATGTGGCGACCTGACGGCCAACAAACTGTGGATCATGAGGAAATAGAGCAGCAAACAGCCGGCCGATGGAGTGACCGAGTCTAGTAGAAAAGTTGTTGAGGATGACTTCTGGGACGTGTTCTGTTGGGCTCTTTCCTTTTCTCTAGTGAGGAAAAACAAAAAAGTTTAAGGACTGGGCTGTGCGCCTTTCAGAACTGACAGAAATGCATATTAATCTAACTAATTTCCTGAATTTGAATTGATTTAGCAAATAGGACATTTAATATTTTAGTATTAATTACACACAAAATCATATTTTATACACAACACATTAACCATTACCAGAAACAAATTTTGGGGAACTGTGGGAAAAGTCATCCCTGTAACACTCTATACATATTAGTGGAAATATGTAGCATCATAAAAAAAAAAATGGGCCAGCAAAATTCCTTGTGTGACCATTACATTTCTTAGAATTACAATCAAGTAATAAACAGAGTAGTTCCAAGAGGGTCCTCACACCATCGGTGCTCGGGCTAAAAAAAAAAAAAAAAAAAAATCCTTCACCTTCATTTCCTTGCGAAGACGAACACTACTGAGTTTGAAATGTGCAGTTGGCCCGTCAGGAAGGTGACACAGAACCAAACCGTCTGTAAAACTTTAAGTAAGGGAAAATCCTTGTGTAGAATTCAGCGAGCGTTGGTGTCTTTGTTTCGGCAGTATTTTCAATTTTGATATTTATAGGTCAAACTGTTCTTGTCTTTCAGTCATATAATACAGGTATGGGGTCCACCTCAAAGAGCATGCACAGAGAAGTCCAAATTAAACATGATTTAATGACTCGTAAATGCAAGTACACATTGATGGCCTAAGACACGAAATGAGTGGTTTGTGTGAGAAAACGAACAGTATTTATATGGTTTTTACCTCTTGTATCCACAGCCACGTCCAGGTGATCTTAGGGCGCAGGCACTTCGGTCTGCACAAGTGCCGGAAATGATCTAAATATGGTCTGTTGATATATCAAAATCGTATCCATACCGATTTCATGTACATCTAAATATGTTTCGATCTTCACGGTGAAAGGTAACACTTCCGAAATCTCTATGCAAATAATGAGTGACGTACACGCGTGAGAGATCACTTCCAGCGCTTGCATAGACCGCATTAGTGACAGACAAGAGCGGTTTGATCTAAAACTATCAAAATTGAAACTACTGCGGAAACAAAGACACCTACATCTTGGATGCCCTTGAGGTAAGCTAAAACATACCAAAAATGAATTTCAAAGTGAACTATCCCTTTAAGCGGACAATACAACAAAATCTCACAGATCTAAGAAGTGGTCATATAAAGAAGTCTGAACAAAGGATACTTGGCACCTTTCTGTCCTCATTTATCACTATCAGATAAGTGAAACCTCTAGATACACACTGTGGAATGACTCTCTTCAATGCCAACCCTCTTCTGTAGTAGACATGTGAATGTGGGATTACTGTTGCCAGCTGATCACAAAACCTCACTGTCCTCTGAAATCAGGAAGAGACAAACACATTAGAACAAAATGTTTGAACGACATTACTATTATTAAATAGTTATTTACAACATGAGTGAATTAGCAAACAGTGCAGTATACAGAAAGTTGAACTCACTCCTCTGGGCCTATCTGAAGTGGTGATGAGAACTTTGGGATTTATAAGCCGATTGAAGTAAGCAGAGAACTCATCAGTTCCTTCATCAAAAGCCACCTGGATTTAACAAAATTTAAAAAGTTACTTAATTTTTTTAAAATGATGTCTACAGAAGAAGACAGTAGGTGGAATAAGGATCACAAATCACCTCCTCATCCTCTGGGTTGACTGTAGTTTCATCATATATTCTCTGGTTTTCTATTGTTTTGGGAACTTCTTTAGGTGGAGCCTAAAATGAAAATTATTGCAAACACCAATAAAGAAAAACAACAACAACAACAAAAAGCAAACAAACAAAAAAACCCCAAAAAACTAATGGAATTTTCTGACAATGACTTGCAAATGTACAAAAGTTTAATTTGCCACATATTAACTACAAATGTAATGCATTTGATATGAGCAATTTACCTGTTAAATATAATATATTCATAGAAAAGCCAAGCCATATTTTAAAAAAAGGCAAGCAAGAATCAACCGGTTCCTTTAATAAATCTTCCAAACCAATTCAAAAAGTTAGTGTTTGAATCAGTCTGACGAATATTGAATAAACTCACAGAATCCGTCAGAGCAGTTCCTGATTATTTCTAGTAACGTCCATCTAGAATTGAAGCCAGTTGTGTACTTGAGGTTTGTGAAAACTTATATCAGGCCATCCTTAAAAATATTTTGGTTTGCAGTAACAGCAATTTTTTTTTAAAAAAAGGGTCGGTAGGTAGGTCTATATTTTTTTTTTTCAGGATTCAGTTAAAAAAAAAAAGTTAAATTTTGGTCATGGTGATCATGAATTTTTTTTTTTTTTTTTTTTTTTTAATTGCATACTGTGACTGGGTCTTCAAACTGTGCATCCACCACTAGGTGTTATTGCAACCTACAACCGGTTACGTTTTTAGGCCAGTCACAAAATGAATAAATATCTACTGTATTTGTTATGCAGCAGTGTGCAGGCTTTTTTTTCCCCAAATACATGAGATATAAGCAAAAACAAGTACAAACACATGGTGAAACAAAGAATACAATTAAACAAAGATACAAATTAGCCTATATACACAGTGCTTTAATTTCAGAAAGGTCTAAAATTAGCTACTTTTCAGTTAAGTGTGTTGCGCTGTCTGAAAAGAAATTTAATTTAGTAAATCAAATGTAAAATGACACTGCATGGTGTATCATAGTTAGATTAATGCTTATTAAAGTTTAAGTTAATAATTCAAGAGCTGCGAGTGATTTTTCTCTGCCTTTTGTTGTGTTTGATTCCCATTACTGGCTCAATCGTCACATGTTTATTAGACTACTGCTGCCCCTTTAAGACCGAGTGCGGATCTAACAGATGACTGGTGCACCACCATATCCTCCCAACTATTCACATCCATTTAAGACATAAACTGTGTTTAAATGAATCTCAGAGCAGGTCATTTTAGATTTTATGTATATTTGATAGTTTAGCTGCGCACATGAAGCCCAAAATGAGGCTATAGCCTACTTTTCTTGTCCCGTTGCAGTGCATTTCGGAGCACGCATCACCTTGTGAACAGCGTCTCTTGCGCAGACTTTTGTGCTTTTAATAGCTCTTTTAATGATTGAACCCGTACGCAGTTTAGCAACAGTACAGACTGCATTTTACAACAATTACCGATCGTGCTGATTCTGACGGTACGTTTGGGTTTTAGGAAGAAATGACAGCGCAACGCTGTGAAGGGAAGGAAGTTGCGCTATAGACAGAATGCGTCTGTAATGGTTTCATCTCAAATATCTTTTTATAATCTTTGAAAGCGGAAATCTAAAATACAATTAGAATAATATCCCAGATCTAAAGTGTAGGTAACCACGTTCTGTCCTCATCGTCACTCATTAAGCAGGGCTGTCATGTTGTTCGCGCTGTGGCTCCGGGTGAGAGATCGCTCTCTCTCTTCTGGACTGGGAATAGCAAAATTGCATCAGACAAATTGTTTAATATTATTATTATATATAGATATGGTTGATATTCAGCCCATTTAATACCGGGTTTACCAAGCGGGAACACTGAATGAAACTAAGCGAACGTATAGCCTAAGCCTTATAGACAGTGTGACACGGGTAAACCAATCGTGTAAACATAATCAGATGACTAATCATATGACGCCACGGGTTTTTATTTAAAAGAAAGAACGTAGCCTACGTTTGTAGACATAAGCAACTTTCACAATACTAACTAAAATATCATTTTATGGAATTTGAATTAGTCGTTTGAAGAGTAAAAAAAAAAAAAAAATCGGTCGGTCTGAACGCAAGTTACAACCGGCAAGTCGGTCGGACTAAAAGGGAAAAAAAATAAAAAATTGGGTCGGCCCTAAATTGACAGGGTCGGTCGGGTTACGGCAAACAAGAATATTTTTAAGGGTGGCCTCAGTATCATTATTGTGTGGTTATTCACATGATATTCACTTATTCATATTAAGTATCTCAGAAAGTTTTGAGCATTGTAGGCAATAACATTAAGAATGATTTTTTTCCCCATTCACTATTGAATCGTTTTCCCCTTACCACCAACTAAATTATCTAAAGTATCATATTCATATTTAATTATTAGCTTTTAAAGTATGGTTTGAAATTAAAATAATTTTATAAAACATTTAATTCAGAGAAGTATACATCTACAAAAGGATTTTGTAGGAAACAGTGAAAGTTTTTTTTTCTTCGTAACATTTTTCAGATAGCCTAAATTATGTGGCAACACATCTAAATGAACCGGTTTCATGTAAGTCAACTTAATCGGACCTCACAAATTACATTGATTGTGCAAGAATAATTTTTTTTTTTTTTAAAGTCTCACTGCATGCAATGAAACATAATGCCATGGTAAAATAGAAATTAAATTACATTTTTACATGATTATTGAAAAATAACTGTTTCAAAAGTTTTCTTTTTTTAAATCACTTTCTTTAAAAACGTTAGCATAATATATTGTGTAATATATATTATATTAATTGCCCATCCCCAAGTGCAAAGAAACCATTTTGCAAGGAAATGAGATTTACTTGATCATTTAATGTAATTGAGAGACTGAGAACATCAAGATTTTAGAAAACTTATCTGATGATGCATAGATGCTGTGAAATGCAGGAATTTCAGTTGATGTGAAATGTCCATCAACATACCTTATCACCAAGAGCTTTTCTCTCTTTCTTCCTTTTCTTTTTCAGCTCCAACTTTTGCTAAAAGACATAAATGACAGCTTTAACATAATAATATATGAAACTCTTAACATGTTCCAGAGATGGCTGTGTTTTTCAGGCCTGAGTAAGCAACATACGTAAAAGTGGTCAAGTTTTGGTCAAGTTTAATTATTCTTTAAAGAAAACAAATCATTCTTGTATACTTTTTAGGGTAACGTTACCAAAAGGCACGTTTGTCTTTTTGGCCATCTTACGACTATTCTGCTTTTGTTTGTCAAATGGCTGTCTGTCCTGGCAGCTCCCCTAGGGCTTAAAACACAGCCAAATTGTGCGTTCAAATCAATAAGAGTGTAACGTTATGTCTGTGAGATGTCACCTTTCTTTTCTGCTCCTTCAGTTTAAGGAACATCGAATGTCTGCGCTGCTTGTTTTTGATATCAGACATGCTGAATGTGGGAGGAAAACACGCTCCTGACACTGGCTTCTCCTCTGTTACTTCACTCTCCGCCTGATCCATTTTCTCCACTGGAGCTTTGCCGGGTTTCGGCTTTCGCTTAAGGTTCTTCGTTTTCCCTTTTTTCTTAGAAACACTCTCTGAAGTTGTTAATTTGGTAGAATCCATTTTCTGTTGCTTGTGTCTTCTCTTCACGTGTGTGAGAAACTCTACTTCCGGTTCAAGTGGACATTCCTGCTGCCACGTGAGTTTGGCTGCGTTCCAAACCGCATACTCAATGAGTAGGTACTTAATTTCAATAAGTACTTACTCATCGAGCGCTAAAAGAGTAGGTACTTTATAGCCAAATCTCGTTGAGTATGAATGCGAACCGGACATCTGCCATGTTGACGTTATCATGTGACCTACTACGCGTTATCACAAGCGCAACACCTTCATGCAATTAAAAAAAATATGAACGATACGTTTAATTAATCTATACCTATAAATATCTTGATATTGATGAAACTTGCTCATTTTGTTGTGGTATTGTTGAAGAAACAGCTGCCTATTTATTTTGTGAATACCTTTAGGGTTGATTTAAGTTGTTATATTTTAAACCCTACTGACCAACAGTGTTATTCTAACGATACTTTTTTTTTATTAAGAAACCCCAAAATCATCATCTCTTGATTATGTTGTTAATTTCTTTATTTTATACCCAAAAAGTTTCTCCTTTAAGTTTTCCTCTTTTTCTTCATGAATTTACCTCGTTTCATCCCTCAGATATAACAACAACTTTTTTTATGTATTATGAAGAACTATAATGAAGATATTTAGCCTTTTTTATTGTTCTTATTTCCTGTGTATAAATATAATTTTATGTCATATTATGATGTACACAAACCAATGATCTTTATATTTTCTGTTTTGTCACTATGATTGTTACATAAACTATAGTATCTTTCCATGATCTTGCATATTAATAAGTTTAAATTATATGAGCGACAGGTGCTCTAACACTTCATAACATCAGTAACTTGACAGCACAACCTAGAACAGCGCTTGTAATGTCTGCACAAAGGAGACGGGCAGCTGCTTGAAGATCTCTTTTGGAGGAAACTGTTGATTTTATACTCCAAAAATGTAAGTATCACTGCTTAAAAATTAATATTACCTCAGAATGAATTTCATTGTTAGCCCACCCCAAAACTTAAACAAAATAATAATATTAAATGCTGACCAATACTTATATAACTTTTTATATACTAAAAATATAATTTAATAAAACAAGCAAAATGTCATTTGTTTTGTAATATGACAGTAATGCATGAATACATTTATATTGCTAAATGCAGTGAAACATCTCAATTGTCAGTCAATCGATGAATTAATGCATAAATTAATTACATTTTATATACTGACAACAATAAGAAACATGAATAAATGAGTAAAAGAACAAATAAAAGTAAATAAAAGTAACCATCACAATAAACAAATGCATATACAAGTCAACACATGAAACAGCTTTATTCAAACTACAAGCATGTATTTACAGGCACTGAACCCCAAACCCTACTGCCGACTCAACACAGCGGTTCCCATTCTTTGATGACAGCATTCAGCATCATGAGCCTCTCTCCACCGGATAAACACACGCGTGTTCTCCTGTCCCTGTAACATACAGACAAGATTCACATTACGAGCTCAACACTGCATTTACATGTTGAGGTTGATGTGTTAACTCACTTTTAATCCAACTTAAATGTTCCTCAATATATCAACACCAATAAGGGACAAATTAAATATATATCATGTTTAGTTACTTTATATATGTTTTTATTCACAGCACATAATTTGTCTAATGTAAGCAGTGTTGACAACAGTGAATTATCCTATAGCACACACATGTATTTTTCATGTTGGGATGTGCTCACCTGCAATACTTATACAATATTTTCCTTCCTGATGTAAATAGACATTTTAAATAAGCGTTTTTAAGATGTATGGTTATGTAAATACACGTTGGAAACGTAACTTTACGGTTACTGGAGCTCCCCTGTTATCAATACATAATAAAACATGTGTTTACAGCAAAATCACAACTATACTATACTGTCTAACTCCTTTAGACGTTCAACAGTTAAAACGTTTACTCTATAGTAGTTTAACACATACGATTTAAACCGTATTTACTCACATTTGAAAACCCCCGCGTCGCTTATCTCCGCGATGTTGATATTGACGTATCCTCTCTTCTTCTTCTTCTTCTTCTTCTGTGATTTTTATTGGCAGTTTGCAAGCTATGTGCATTGACGTATCCTCTCGCGTGGCCTCCTGGGATAGATGAGTATCATGAGTAGCCGTGGAAAAGCACTCAAAAATCTGGGCGGAAGCAGTAAGCCATCCGGGAACTTCTCGCCTACTCTTTTTATGAAAACTGATGTTTGGAACGTACTGCTTCCTTCACGTACTGTTTTCGCCTACTATATAGTAGGAAAGTAGGCATATTGGAACGCACTTAAGTCCGAATCTCGCGACAATTGCTACGTCACCCAGGTAATTCTCGCCTACTCTTTTGGATTCATTCATACTTTTTTGCTCGCCTACTCTTTTTCCCATACTAAATAGTAGGGAAGTATGCGGTTTGGAACGCAGCCTCTGTGTTGTGTTTAGCGTCTTCTAGCGGATAGTCAGATGATTTTCTCTTCTTCGCCGTATGTGTGCTCGGCAAGACCGTTTTGTGTTTGAACGCCCCCAAGTTGTGTTTTACTGTAACTTCAGAAGTACCAGACACGTGAGCAAACCCGCCAATCTCGCGGGCCAATCTTTCTTTTATAAAATACTTTTCTTTTAAATAATGTCTATCTTTTTAATAGCGTTGCTGAAGCAGATCTATACACTATGCACCCATAATCTATTGTTGATCTTATCAACGCACAATACTGTTCTTTTCTAAATTTCTAACACATTTTTTCAACTGTTAGGCAGGGTTGACCTTGTAGTAGCATTACTGTCCAACTTCAATCCTTGATCACTTGAATTAAGATTATAATAATTTTATTTTTAATCACAGCCACCAAAAAAAAAAAAAAAAAAAAAAAAAAAAAAAAAAAATCAAACTTGACCTCTGATCATTCTGAGGTTGATTTCAAATCATAACTGAATAGAAATAATACCGTCTTTGAAATCAAATCTTTGCGTATCTATGACAGGAAACACTTGCATACACAATGCCTGAAAGAAAAAAAAAATCTTTAAAAAAAATAATAATTCAAACTCAAATTCAAACAAAAGAGCAAATCAAAAGCATCAGAACAAGATTGTTTTACTAAACTGCCGTTAAATGGCAGGAGGCATGATAGTGCACATCAAAAAGAGGCAAAGCAACAAATTAACATTATTCACCCTATAGCTTTTTACAGAAAATATTTGTAATCGTACACATTTTTCTAAGTAACTGTAATTTAATTACAGATTTTTCTGAGTAGCTATAACTAACACATTTTTTTTTTTATGGTTTGTTTCATGTTTTGGATTTTGTTTATGGTTCATCTTTTGGATCTTTGGACACTGTTCATAAACTGCACTTGGGTTCTCAACTACAACTTTACCTCAGTGGACTATTGCAATAAATAGCAACAAATTTAATATGAGAAAAGTAAATCCAGGCACAAGAGTAAGTCCATATGGAGCAAGGCACTTGATATAAACACTTGGGTATAAACCATAGACCGTAAAAAAAGATGGACGACGCCCCTTCGCTCTTTTCCATCAGAGAGAACTGAAGCCGCCAGTGTCTCGATATGACGCTGACATCTTGGAACTTGAGTCTGCGCACTTGCGTGTTTCGGGACCAGTCATGCGCAGTCGTGAGCAGGAAGTAAAGCCGCAAAATCATGGCTGCGCCCTCATTATCTCGCTGAATCAAACGCAAGCACCCGCCCCGCACTTTCATTAAGTGTCCTCTGTCTGCTTCGTTCTTCTCCAATGATGTCTGCTGATTGCAGAACCGCGTTAAAATAAGGTAAATACAACTACTAACCGCATAATCAACATTATTAAAAAAGTCTGTTGGTGCTTCAGTGACTACTTCGCACAGAAAACCTGTCACTCACAGCTGTCAATCATGTCAGAGCACCATTTTTAGCATCACATAACTAACTAAAAACAAACTTATTTTAAAAATGAACACTTGAAATTACATCAACGTGATAGAAACTACAGTAAATTACAGAAACTATCTTTGGAAAAAGGATATGTGAAGTGTAATTTAATTGTTTAGTTGGTCTCGCGTCCCATTGAATAACATGGGGAGGCGGGGGTTATGAGCTATACTAGGTCCGGTCACAGGGGGGCGATCGAGACGTTTTGGGTTCACTTTTGAGGTCTTGTGCGGCATGCTTGGTAATAATACACAGGATAACCTGGGGTTAAAAAGGGAGAGGTGAGGGTAATGAATTGCTATGGAAACTTACGAGGGCAATATGGAAACAAACTAAACACAGGAAGTGAACACCGGAAAAATAGGAGTAAAAAAAGTCAGCTCGGTAATTTCTTGGAGGAGTTGGATATGTAACTGTCATCCTTGCCTGAGGATCCTAACTCCTCTTACTTGGAGACTAGCTACAGTACTTCAACATTCACACAGAAAAACCTCAGGCTGCTGACTTCCACACTCTGCTTGCCATATATGACCTCAACTGTGTGTTTTGGCTACTCACAGATCAGGTAACCAATTTTTGACCTTTTTTATACATGCTACTGCTCCATTGATCATTCAATGGTTACTCCACTGCACACCTCAGATGACTTCCTCACTCTTAACCTCAACCTGGCTCGGTGTAACTTACACACACTCTCACCCTCCCCTCTATCCTCTTCACTTCCTTACCCTAATCAGTCCTCATCACTTTTGATAACAGTGCTTGTGGTGCTATTTTCTCTACTTTAATATCATTTTTAGAAAACTTCTTTCATCTAGGCCAGCCCACGTCACCCCCTCTGCTTCCTGGCTAATCTGATGTTCAGCAAAGTTCTAAACTCAGGGCGCAAATCGAAGGATCCTAGTGACCTTGGTTTGTATCAATCACTCTTTTCTTCCTTCTCTGCAAATGTCTCCACTGCTAAAACTACTGCTACTACCACAGCAAACTTAACAATTCTTCTTAAGGCCTGTTCACACCGGGACAAATTTCGCACGCGGGACGAATTTCGCGCGCGATATTCGGCGACGTTTAACGCCTCATGACTAAACAATGGG